GACATTTCTAAACTTCTGTTTTCACTTTGTCATTATGGGGTACTGAGTGTAGATTAATGAGAAAAAAAATGATTGTTGTATCAGGCTGCAACATAATAAAATTTTAAAAAGTGAAGGGGGTCTGAATACTTTATGAATGCACTGTATATGTGAGTTAGTAGAATTTTGACTGACTGAGGAAACCTCCTGATTAATCACAGAATTCTCTTTATTGTTAGCAACAAGATATCATGGTGAATGAGAAGCAAGATATGCATTCACCATCTAATCTATAATTGTGGGTGAGTGGTTCCCAGTCCAAAAAATAAAAAATAGAGAATTGCTTGTTTTGAAAGGAATGCCATGCCCTTAAAGGAATTTGTGGATGTTTTAAGATCCATCATTATCATTGGAGATCTGGATGATAGACCTTTGTGACTAAAAATACCAGTGTCAGCCAAGCTGGTCCTTTCTCTATAACAAATCTTGGAGAGTTTAGCTTGAATTGTTAACCTCAACATTGGATTACTGTATTATACTCTGTGTGAGGCTGCAGAAGCTACAGATGGTACATAATTCATCAGCTAAATTACTGATTGGGTTGCTTCATCGTGTACATATTACACCATTACTAAAGTATTTGTACTGATTGCCAATCTGCTATCAAGCCAAATTCAAGGTGTGATGGGAAACATCTGGTCTGTGAGGCCCCCTCCCCTAGGCTCCTCTGGTTTGACTACCACTTGTTCTTCCCTTTTGAGTAAAGCCAATTCACCCAATTTTTCTCCTGCAGGAACAGGAGAAAAATGAGACATGGGCAAAGCTTATGCAGGAGGCAGAGAAATAGCTTCCTACCTCCTCCCACACAGGAAAGCAAGTTGGGAGGAAATGAAGTTTCTCTCTTCAAAGCTCCATCCCCTGATACCACCCAGCCTGCCAGGAGAAACTGAGGGCTGAATCTAATCCTGCAGTCAAGTCCAGAGTCTCCTACCGCTATATACAGAGTCTTTCAGAATAATCCCATTTATACTGCTTTCCCTTTCATTTTCAGTGAAAATTGCAGATTGCTGCATGACAAAGATGTACTTTCTTGGTTGTAGTGTTTTTTTTTTTGGAATTACTTTCCCTTTGCCATATACCAGGTCTGCATGCTTCATGAAAGTTGCTTCATGAAAACTCGTCTTTTTATGTTTATTTTTCCACTACACTTATTCTTCTTAGTATTTTCAGTCTTTTCACTGAAGTGTTTAATTTAACTGTTTCATTGTCATTGTAAATCACACCAGGCTTTATATGAATAAGAAGTCTACAAACACTTTAATAAAATATTTATTTAGTAAAATAATAAAATCATTACATATGCGTCTATCAGTGCTTCTATCAGTTCATTGGCTTTATAGAATACAATATGATCTTGCTTTATATTTCAGATTTTATGAAGACTAAAGAGTTTTTTATTTGATAGTGGAAGGCAGGGATGATTGAAGTTAATCTTGCCATTAGCCTGTTAGGTTTTTTTTTTATTAAGTTTGCATCTTGAAAGCTTATTGAGATAATACTTTAGAGTTATTTTTTTTCACATTTGCAGCTGTTTTTATATTCCTAATAGGAATGTATAACATTAACTTTTTTATTAGCAGAATATTGGGTCATTTATTCTAGTTTGGTCTACTCTAACTATTTCATAAGGATGTAAGTATCTCAGGAAGAGGATGCTACTAATTGTGTCTTTCTCTGTTATTTATTTTCTTGTTGTTTTCCATTGTGATTTTAAAATCACAATGGATAATTTTTGGTAATTTTCTGCCTGTTTCCTAGAAATGTCACAGAGACATTTCCACTGAGAATAGTATTCAATCTGATCAAGTAAATCAGAATTTTCTGATATTCTAGCTGCACATAGAAAGTAATGTTGTCTGAATGCATCATGTTCTTATTTGACCCCTCAAAACTATTTAGCAGTCTATACTCACAAAATTGTTTTTCATGTATAACAGGTCAGTGCTCCTGTCTTTGTGCCAATGAAAACTCATGAACTCCTTCACCGAATGAGTGGAAAAGGATTAGCAGCCAATTATCACTTCTCAAGACATGCATGCATTTATAGTGATCAGATGGTATCTGTACAGGTGATGCTGACTAATACCACAGACCAGAAGATAGAGAATATCCACTTAAGTGAAAAAAAACTGCCAGCTGGCATGAGAATGCACGTATTTAATTCAATAGGTAATTGAATTCTTATCTTGAAACAATCTGGTCACTATTGTGTAAATTAAAAAGTACTGATTTGGATGTTTTTTTAAAAATCATGAGTGTATCTTATCAACAAAGTTTATGATTTAATTAGCCTTTTATATTTACTGAATGTTTTATGATGCAGTACACCATTTGCAATACCATTGAAATGTTTTGTATCCATGACCTGATTTATAAGTTTCTCTAAATTGTTTTCTCTCTCAGCAGGCATGATTAAGATGTAAGCTTATACTACATTTTTTTTACAAAGTAATTTCATATAAAACAGTACATCACTGGAAGGTAAATTGCATAAGCATCAGCAAGGGGCATATACAAAATGTGGGCCATGACATCATGATGCAAATTCTGCCTTTTACTTACTTGAACAGAATATCACGATGCAAATACTAAAGGGCAGAGCTTGCTTTTGGTACATGTTGTGTCATTTTGGGGTCCTCATTGTTAGGAACAGTTGCCTGTGCTAAATAGTAGTGATAAAATGCTCTAGATTATACCCTCAAATGTAGTGGAGCCCTGCATTTATAATATAACTTTTCCTACTTCAACCCCTTTCTCTCCCTTCCTCCCCAGTCACTTTTGAAATTTTTTAAATATAATTTCACTCAAAAGATATTCATGGAAGAAAATGGAGAAAGTATATTTAGAATATTTATCCATTTCTCCTATCTCCTGTTGCTCCAAAACTACTCTGAAAAGTCATTGCTTGGCTGCAGAGGGAATGTAGAATTTGCAAAAATCTCCTCTTCCTTATTGCTTTACTAGATGCTAATGGAAGGAATCCTTTTCTTTGAGGTGTTTGGATGCTCTTTGGCATGTTTGGATCTAGCCATATAAAGTTCTAAAAATACAATTTTTATTCAGGAGAGTCTAGAAAAAAACACAGAACTATGACCTATTAATGGATTCAGAAAAAGTAACATTAATATTGTTAGTAAACCCAATAGTGCAGCAGTCCAAAATTATCTGTAGATATGCAGGCTAACCATTCATTGTGGTTACTTTTCAAATTAAAGCAACAGCTAAGGACATAAAATCACAGAATTTATTCCTCAACATAATTTGTTAAACCCTTGGTTTGAGGTTTATTTTTAGCAATGAAAAGCAGGCAGGCCCATTATTTCTCCTGCAAGCCTTTGATCTTTTTTAAATAAGGTATTAAATACTATTTGGCTGTTTAAAAATGTTTTAAAATCAATGTGACAATTCCATGTTTTCTCTTCAATCCCCTTTTCTCTTTTCACCTTTTAATTTGAGCAGATTAATTAATCTCTTATTAATTACAACATTAATGACACCCTAATAGCATCTCTGTTATACATCATAGAGATACAGGCTTACAGAATTATAAATCTATCTTGCTTTGGTTTCTCAGGGTGTTGACAGACTGTTTTTTTAAACTTTAATTTCCTTTGATAAACATCTTTCTAAATCTCAAAGCTAAATCAGACAAAAGTAGAATTAAGATAGCTTCTATAAATTGACATTATTTGAATATTTGATCATATTTCTTGCTGATAACTTACTTTAGCACACAGAGAAATATATAGATAGGATAGGATGGTTTATCTGTAACTTATTCAGTGCTTAGTGTAATGTTCACAACATTCTATTTACTAGAATCCCTTGAACCTGGGAAATCTATTACCGTTCCAGTGGGAATTGACTTCTGTGATTCTACGCAGGCTGCTAGTTTCCAGTTATGGTAAGTTATGCTATAGTGGCATTTCAAAAACAAATCGCTTATATGCAACATAAATGAATAACACTGATGTCCTGTGCTACTGGAATGTTAATATAGTTGACTGGAATACTTTTTAAAAAAATTAATTCTCTCTAAGGTTGATCAGTATATTCAATTTTGAGGTGCAAAAGTTCTCTCCATCTTTTTTTTTTTTTAAGTATCTTAGTCATATACGAAGAAAACTTTCAGAGCCATTCCTTCACATGTAATAAATCTATAATTTTTGTGTAGCATTGTTATTAAACATACAGAAGACCAAGCTTTGCTGAGAAGAATGAGCAGAACTTCTGCAATGAGCTGCTGAGCTTCACAAAGCTTTATAATGTTCTAGGTAGTAAACAAATTAAGTTTACTCAGCCAGATGTTATGTACATGCGGGAATTCTTTCTTAAGAGCTTGTAAAAAAAATCTGGAGTTGCAAGATTAAAGCGGACTCTTTTATGTATTGCCTGAAAGTTGGAAATCAGGAAGTGGAGGAATGTGTGGAATGTTTTCACAGAGGACAGGAAAGTATATGTAGGCAAAGTAGAAGTTCTGTTTAATTTCACCCTCTCATTCCATCACTTTCAGTTCTGAATCCTTATCTGCCCTTGCCACTGGAACTGCCCTGTTCCACCAATGGACAGATCTTTTCATGTGGTGAAGCATCTTACTCTGGGCCACGGTGAATCATCATCATCAATCATCATCACAGCACTTTTTGCCAAAACATGCATAGAGTCATCCATACTTCTCTTATATCAGCCACATCCAATGGTGCTGGATTCTTCTATACTTAACTTGGATATTGCCACTGGCAGTTAGCTAACCCCATTTAGTCAACTCCATCCTATACTATTACAATATTGTAAGGAAAGCTTAAGAAGGCATTCCCTTTTTAGGATCAAGGAGAACAGACACATAACTTCCTTGACTATCAAGCTATTGCACAAATAGCTTACCAAACTCTTGTCTCTCAATCTTTTATCCACCATTCTCTTCAAATTGTGAAGGATCCCCATTTTCTTAGCATTGTTCTAAGTATTGTTCACAGATCAGATCAAGACTAACATTTATGTCATATCACATCATCATCAATGACCATTCTAGGAGATGGAAATGAGATGGACTTTGGGCTTTATTGCCTATATTATTATTCCTTTTGAATGGATAGCACTAGTTATTATTTTGAGACATCCTTGGTGCATCACTCATGTGATCTCCACTCAGCATCACATCCAGCACATTAACTTACTTTGACACAACCATATTTGATTATGACCTGCAGTTCCATGTACCATTGCTGCCCCTTCCAACACCAATTCTAGTAATACTACCTATCATTTCTTAGATAATGCAAACACTTGCCTTCATGATAATTGTTCTACTACAGCAGTTGCTACTCCTGCTTTTGAAATGAATGGGCACTAATTGCCTGTTCAGATTTCAAGGAGTCCTCGGTGATAGTGTGCTTCTCCTTCAAGATGGAAGGCTTTGAGATTGAGGATGCCTCCTCAGTCTCAGAGATCTGATCTATGCCTTTGCCAAATCCCCTTGTACATGAGCAGTTGGTATTGCCTCTACCTAAAGGAAATAAACCATATGCTTAGCAGCTTCTTTGTATGGCTCTCAAACTTAGTTGTAGCAGTTCATAGCAGATTTCAGATAATATGATGAGATTTGTATGATAGGGTTTGCTTTTATAGCTTGACTTTTTGATTAATGTGGGTATTTATTTTTTTAATTGTTTATGGGTTTTACTTTAATTGTGAGCCGCCCAGAGTCACCCATTGGGGGAGATGGGCAGCATACACATTTAAATAAATAAA